CTACACCTGGACAATAGAAGCTACTAAACCTGGACAATAGAAACCACACCTGGACAATAGAAACTACACCTGGACAATAGAAACCACACCTGGACAATAGAAACTACACCTGGACAATAGAAACCACACCTGGTCTAAAGAAACTAAACCTGGACCATAGAAACCACAGCTGGACTTAGTATTCCTTTCCTGTCCTCTACAAGCCCGTCCAGTCGAAGCAGACAGCAGCTCATCCTGGTTCTGGTTCTGCTGGACGTTGCTTCCTGTTAAAATGAAGTCATTTCTTCCCACTGTCACCAACGAGCTGCTCAGGATGGAAGGTTGACACAAAGTGAAGATTTGATCAATCTGCTGGCTTTAGACAGATAACTTTTACTAATTAGCATTTTAAAATGTTCTGTATGTGATTATATTGTAATATAATGGAACTGAATTGACTGCAAGTGTAGTTTTGTAATAAAATTTGGTTTTAAAAGTGTTTCTGAATAGTTTGTACCAGCTCACGTTAGCAGCGTACTCTCAGATATAACCAGATCGTTTGATGACTCTTGAAGATATTCAAGACTAGTTGTGGACAAAAAACCACCACAAAATCATAACTAATCAACAAAGATGCTAATACTGAACCTAACATATCTCAGATGGACCCTTGATCCATCTGGTTTCATTCTCATGCGCGTAAGAATTGCACGATTCATATACTGCTTGTAACTTTTATATACTGTATAAAAACACATTGTGCAATAAGCTTATATGCAAAGCGATATCAGTAGCTTTGATTTCATCTGGACAAAGTGATCTTTTCTGAGCATGCTTCTGAGAAATCTGCTTCATTCACACAGAGATGAAGATGGACAGATAGAAGGTAAATGATGACTCAATGGAGTAAAGAAGGTGTTAAGAGAAGAGAGGGTGTCACATTGAAATGGGCATCGTTTTAACGRGTTTTTTGTGTTCTGACTAAAGATAAATTTGTAAATAATTGGTCATCTTTAATGCCTTCCTGTATTWCCATAAAAGAAGGCTCTGAAGCACAATTAAAAGACAAAGCTTATATTAAAACCCTGTCATGTCTCTGGTGTTCTACACCTAATTGACCTTTCAGCTTCCCGAAGCCAGTGGAGCACTCTGCAGTCAAAATGACACCTATTTTGACAGTCCCTGACCATAACATTGCACCTTCTGCGGCTGCGCTGCACGCGGCTCCACCCGGCTCCACCCGGCTGACATCCAGGGGTCAGGCCAGACGACAGAGGTGACGGCATGTGACAAACTGGGGGGTCAGGGAAAGAGAGGCAGGGTGACGMTGGGTTTGGTGTGCAGTAATGCCTCTGTGACTCTTAACGCCTAGTGACGGGTTTCAGCTGCTGCTCCTGAGGCCATTTCWTGTATATGACACATACACTCTCTGACTGGCTGTGTGACTTCCCTGCAGTTTCTTTCAGAGCTCTTGTTGCCTGTCAGACTCCCCCTCAGGACTTTCCAACYCACCCGGCACCGTGACTTCACACTACATACGCCAGCTAAAGATTTCAACAGGGAACCYAACTGTTGCCTTGGGAGCCGAGAGAAGTGCAGTTTTTTTTATACGGCGAGGAAAATAGATGATGCAGTTTATAAATGTCTTCACATAGTCGAGAATAAACTACGTGAAAATGACCTGTTTGGCTTTCTAATGTAGCTTCAATAACAGGTAAACCATCATTAGATAMATTTACAAGGTAACATTTAGTTTAACTGCTCACAAGAAAAAAAATTAATATCGGCAGACACTTAGGAAAACATTTGCATAAAAGCACAAAGCTACYTTTGGGTATAAATGTTAACATTTTTGTACATTTTTTCTTGACCAAACAAACAATTTCAGACTATCAAGCTTCATAAAGTTCCTGTGCTAAGCTAATCTTGGCAGCTGATTTCCATGCTGAAGTAGATTAGGTGGTATTAAAAGTAAATATAAAATATTTTGGTACCACTTTACAYTAAGACTCCKCTTACAGATGCTTATAGTTTATAAACACTGTATAAATCATTAATAAGTGTTTATTATGCATTAATTAAGGACAAGAAAGGAACAAAACTGTCCGGTTTCTTGCCAAATAGTGAGCCAATTGGTTCATGTACATATTACGTCTAAAGTGTTTTATTAAACATTACAGACCAGGTTTCTACCTTGTAAACACAATAATGTATDYGAAACACATCTTTTGCATATAACATTGTACTGTATTACTGCATTATACATATCCACAACTATCAAAGGGAGCCTTATTTATTAATGACTAATAAACATTTATAAATGTCATAAGGGAACCTTATAAATAATGTARTGTTTTACAATTTACAATAARGAATATGTATAATGCAGTAATACAATGTTATATGTAAAAGARGTGTTTCCAATYCATTATTGTGTTTACAAGGTAGAAACCTGGTCTGTAATGTTTAATAAAGCATCTTTAGATGTAATATGTACATGACCAGATTTGGCTCACTATTTGGCAAGAAACCAGATAGTTTTGTCTCTTTCTCCTCCTTAATTAATGCATAATAAACAATTATTAATGATTTATAAAGTGTTTCGAGATGAATTAATAACCCATCTATAAACTATTCATAAGCCATCTATATGTAAAGTGGTACCAAGATTTTAAATAAAAGTTTGGGTATAAATGTTAACATTTTTGTATGTCTTGACCAATCGAACAACTTTAAAACTACCAAACCTCATAAAATTCTTCCACTAAGCTAATCTTGGCAMCTGTTTTTCATGTTGATGTAAATGCGTTGGAACTAAAACTATTTAAAGCTTGTAACAAACAAGTTACATTTTAAGTTCAGCTGGTTTACCGTAGGTCAACTTTTAGGGTAATCTGTGTTTTTGTTTTTTCCACTAGAAATGGTTTTAATATGTGGCCAATCACATCATATCAATGATTAAMTTGGATTTGAACAAATTAACTAAGCACATTTTCAGATTACTAGCTTTTTAAGCTGAATGTTAAGGACCTGGTTTGTCCTAATAATTGGGATAAACTTTGGAAAATTGGTTTGAATCCTGTTTTTAGCTTATTTTAAAGAGGATTTCTTGATGCCATCCCAAAGAAGTAACCTCAAACTATTATAGGATGTCAGGATTTTCCAACTGGTATTGAAAATACCTTTGCTAATTGCTCAGAATGACAATTTAAAATCAAAAGCGTGGTTGTTGGTAGAAAAAAGATGCTTCAAAACATTAAGGATTATATTTTGGACATTTCCTAAGATGACATCTTTACATTAATGGTTTTATTTATTTGAATGGTCAAAATGAACAAACCTGAAGTACAGAACTCCCTTCAGTTCATACAAAAAAGCAATTATTTCKTTTTTTCTTAATATTCTGATCTTGTTAAGCTGTCTTTGGCAACTGTTTTCTTATTTTAGTTAAAACAAATTAGAATTAATCCTGAATTGACGTGCCCAAACAAAAGACTAAATCTGCCCACAGTCAGGCAAATAACCACGTCTGTTAAAGATTCACAGTAAAAAAAATGATGTGACTGGTGTGTGCCAGAGCAGAAAACACAACAAGTGTTGACTCGGGGACAGGAGGACAGGAGGACAGGAGGACAGGAGGACAGGAGGACAGCACAGTGAATGGACGATGCAGCTGGAGGGCATGAGGTGACAGCTCCTCTGCTGAGGAGTCCATGAAGACAGGAGGTGAAGAGGTGTGAAAGCATGCTGGTGGTGAACAGGGCCACTGGGGGGCAGGTGGGTGGGGGGGGGGGGGACTAACCTATGCACACATTTTCATCGTCCAGTTCTGCTGAGGCATTGCGGTAGAAGCCCAGCTTGCATAGCTGGCAGTGCTGGCCCCTAGTGTTGTGTTTGCAGCTCACGCAAATGACGGTGTTTAGCACCTCGAGGTAGCTGCATCGGTTGGAGTGGCCGAAGCATTCACAGTCTTGCAAAAAGAGAGGAAATGTGAAGGGAAGAGAGGGGGGGTAAGAAGGGGGGGTGAGGGGGTGAGAGAAAGAGAGGAGCTGTAGAGCTGTTGTGATTGCGAGCGCTATGGCGGACGGGCTAGCCGGAGTGTGAGCGAGGCGCCGCGGCATGCGAGGCTGATGGTGGAGGAGGAGATGCTGATTCTGGCCAAGGCGCAGCCAGAGTTAGAAACAGACATCACAGAGACAGAGTGTGTTGTTAGGAGCATCTGAGAGGTCACATTACTGCAAACACACCACAACACCGGGGCGAGGTGATGATGCACGACTACAGGAGAGGAAAAAAAAACAAAACACAAATGCATGAAAACACCACCAGGAATGGAATGACTTCATCAGCTGCTTGGTGGGAGCGGGACTATTTCCACATTCTGCACAACCCAGGCCCTAATGCTTTCACCAATTTAAAGGCGTAAGAAAGATGAAGAGATGATGTCAGGAGCCTAAATAACAACACGGCTCCTGTAGCTTTTTATCCAAGACTCCATTAGTTCACAGAAAACGTTTCCTAACCCTCTGAGGTGGGGTGCAACGAGGCGTCTGCGTGTAGAACCAGCCTTTATCAGATTTACAGAGTTTAAGACGTTAGCGCTGGGAGGTGCGCAGCTCAATGAGTGACGCTGTGTGTCACGGCACAGACAGATGTGAGCCTTAATCCTGGCTGGCAGGTTTCAGAACGAGCAGGTTAGCAGATGGAGCCTCAGTCCGAGTGATTGCTGTTATTAGGAGCGTGTATTGAGGTCAGCTCTTTCTGTTCAGCCAAACCTGACGAGGRTTAAGTACGAAGGAGCAGAAAGTCAAGTCCACTCTACCTTTCACCCAAAGCAGCAGGATGCCTCATTCCTGCAGACGTACTCTCACAAGACTAATAATCTCTCCTTGCCAGAAATAGGCTAAGGTCATAAATCATGCATGCACGAGGGGAAAGAAGAAAAAACGTCTCAGAAACGTTCCTCCCAGAAATAGCAGTCGCAGAAACACCTACTTTATTTGCAGAGAAAATAAATGATTCCATGAGACTTTTATTGTGTTTCAATCATCTGATAGGGAGACAGTTTACCACCGTGATGCGATGCTAGGGTCAGGGGGGATTACAAGGGGGCTCACTGAAGGYGGCAGGGTGTTAAATCCAGAGCTCCTACCTCGCTTGCTGTTTGCAACGTGGACAGAAGGGGCAGTGGGCATTTCAACCTGAGGAGCTACTACAAATTAAAAAAAAGAAGAAAACAAACAAATAAAGAATATGCAATTAAAAACAACACATGTAATGTCAAAGAATTAAGAGTAACCGGCATCAAGTCCAACACAGAAGAACAAAACTGTAGAAAAGAAAAGGTTTAACAATGATGAATGATGGCACTGGGAAATAAAGGAGTGACACTGCCAAGAGAAGCTGGCTGCGTGTAGCAGCAGCTGTTACAAATGCCTTAGATAATGAACAAAATAAATATTATGGTTCCTCTTTAATGCTTCGTTTCACTAACAACCACTTTGTACAACTCAAATCCTCTGCGTACGTATCCCCTGACAGAAATTATCCATTTATAAACTACTCTGCAC